GTCTACTTACTAGCTACTCAGAAGCTAAAAAATATCTTGGCTGTGCATTTAGTACTAATATAACTAGTTGGATATTATGTTATATCTATTGGTTGTTCAATACTAGAATTCAATCAACACAGTATATTGAAAGTTATAACTTATTAATTAAATGATCAGTTAAGACTTCAATACTATTATATAAATTTGATATTTATATTTAATTATAGCTTAATAAGGAAGAAAAATATAAATAACTAGAGAAATAAAATAATTAAAATCTGACTATTGGCTTATCTAATATTATTAATAGATACTTTAAAAGAATTAATAAAACTCTCAAAAAGTATCTTATATTAAAAATATTAAAATTACAACATTACTAAATGAATGAAAGTTTGCTTTATAATGCTAAAAAAATCGAAACTTAGAAAATTCTACTTAGTTATGAGGTACATATTAATAGTATTAATATAATCATTTATAATAAAGTTTATATAATATTTCTAAAAAAAAAAAAATTAATATTAAAAGTACCTGATTTTGATAAGAAGATAAATGTTCTAAAAATGAATAATGAAAGCTAAGAAGAATCTGATAATAATGATAATGATACAGATTTGATAAGAAATAACAAGTAATGTTAATATTAAATTTGTTGAGGATAATTATGAATTTATTATATCAAACTTAGATTCTTTAATTAAATATATTGATCAAACTAGTATTTATGAAGTTTGGTATATCACAACTATTAAACAAAATAAAACATATTTTGTGGTAGTTTATAGAACTGCTAATTATTTATGTATGTGTATGAATCTTGTAACAAAAAGATTAGTTTGTTGATATTTTTTTTCAGTAATGCTTAACTTAGATAAGGCTATATTTCATATTGGTCTCATTTCTAATTGATGATACAAAAAATTAACTTATGATCTTCAAAAAGAAGCTGCAATTACTATTTTTAGCAATTAAAATAGTAATAAATTCAGATTTGAACACCAAATTGAAGTAGATTTCTATTTCCTTAATAAGATTCATTATATACAAAATTCTTAAAGACTGTTAAGCAAAATTTGTCTTATCAGATAAAATACAATAAAGGATTTGAATATGCAAAGAAGGTAGTTGACTTATCACTTGAAATTAGTTGTGAAAATGAACTAAACAAGATACTGCAAGATTAGATCAAAGAAAAAGAAAAAATTCATAATAATATAAGTGAATTTAATAAGAAAAATCTACTAGGTATTAGTAATCCTTATTTAATGCAAACAAAAGGTGCTCCTAAAAAATATATAAAAAGCACATTAGAAAATAAGACTTCTAAATACTATAATAAAAAGACTGATATTAGTAAAGATAAGTACTATACTACTACTAAAGATTTATAAGATACTAATCATAAGTAAGTAAATTTAGCTTTTATGTTTATTATTATAATTATTCTTTATTAATTTTTTTATTTAAATAGAGAAGATAAATTAGATTCTGATAAGCAACTTGAAAAGGCAATTCGAGTTTCAAGACAAAATAGTAATTTAGATGAATTTTTTCAATATAGTTATAACTTAGTACAAAAAAAGAATAAAAAATATATATATAGCTATTGCAAAGGTATCAGTTATAATACTTGTAGCTGTGAAAAAAAATATATTAATTAATTAGAAATACATATATATAAAGAGTGAATTGAAAGTCTGGTAATCTTAGTGTAGTGGTTAGGTTACCAGACCACTATGCAATAGGTCTGGAGTTCAAATCCCACTGTTGACGAATTTGAATAATTTCTCAGACCTTATATCTAACTTACAGCAAACTCTGTTTGTTTCTGGAGTTGTAACCCTGTAAGTTAAATTGCACCAAGTCAATCAGACATTAGTAGTATGAGCAGTTAATCATAGGATGATATACATTACACAAATAAATCTTGATAGTAAAAACATTAGTATGGCAGTAGTTAATCACAAGATGATATATGCATACTGATCTATAGACAGGGGACCTGCATGGTAGAAATCCTAAGTTGGTGAAGTAGTATAGCTTTCAATAGTTACATTAGCTAATGCTTGATCCAGAAAGGAAACTATCATTAAAAGATGCAGATCGAGTCGAGTGCACATAAATCCATTCTACAAGGAGGATCAGTAATACCAACCTGGCTTGGTAACTAACTGAATTGGGAGGATCTGCCTTATGAAATATCTGAGAAGATAGACACAGAAAACTAGTGGAAAGCCACGAAAAAAACCAGGATTATACGAACATCTACAAGAATCTAAGCTAGGTGAGTCTATAAAATAGGTACAGACTGTTCTAGTAGGTTTGCTTCGAGATTAACTGAAGCTCTGCATGCTCACAATATGATGAGCAATATGCATCTGAGAGGATCTAAGCTGGTATCGAGAAATGAATCTGTAACAAGCTAGCTAGCA